GTGAATACCTAATTACCCCACTCATGGGATAATTAAATCATCAAGGTTCATTGTGCATAGGTTAAAATGCCACCATTGAATCTTATTTACCTTTGGATGACTAATTTAGCAACATAATAAGTTCAAATGAACTTGAAATGATTCAAACAACTTTAAAGGTTGTTTAGGGTTATGCCCCGAATGCTTTTATAATCTATTGGGTGTTTTGAAGGACAACTAAATTAATTATGCTTTGAGGAAGAAAATCTTCCTTAAAACCTTTAGGGAACCATTAAGTTGTCATTAGGGATCCATTAATTCACACAAATCAATTGAAATACTCTCTACTCTTTATCCTACATTTATGACCCGATGCTTAAGGATTTAAATCTCCTCTATGATATTTAAATCCTTGTGAAGAAATGGGTATAGTTCTTTTTCCACTTATGGATCATCGGGCTTGTGTAAGTCTGAGGGCTAGGTAGGTACCTCAATGACAATAATGTTAATGTGTGCTAAACGAGGGTTACGAAGTCAGATTTGGAATAATATATCCTACCTCAAGGACCTTCAATGAGGGGTGAAAATAGGACCAATGATATTATTCACCAAATCTTGATACGATTGTTGCCCCCGATACTTTTAAGTTGTCAGTAGTCCCAACTTTATTAGAGTAACTAACCTGTGAACTATAATAATTTGCAAAAACATTTCAATCAAAAATCTTTTTCACAACATAACTACTTTCGCCTGCTAAATTAAATTCTACGTGCATGAAAATTAACTTAAAATGAAAACTTATAAAGGTTCATGGTTAGTCACTTGGATCTAGGTTAGGGACTGCCCTCTGAGCGGTTTGGTAGCTCTTACTCAAGGTCGGGAAGCACATAGTCCAGCTTTGAGCTTCCGCCTTCACCGAAGTCTTACACATAGTCCTGGTCTTTCATATGTGACTACGAGTTTTCTTTTACTTACTCGTATTTTCATACGACTCACTTTTTGACTTTTCATATTGAGTGTTCCTATTTCATTTTTCTGTAATTTATTTAAATTTCCTACAAATTATATTACATTTTATGATACTAACCATGCATCGGAGGCAGAAGCCCACGTACACTTTTACATTTTATGTACTGCTGTTCTTTTATTTACATTATAGCATTTTCCTTATGCATACATACTTTACTTGAAAAAATGAAAACAACAAGAATACACTTTCAAAATTAAATCTACACTTTCATAACAATGAACGAACATAATACACTCTTTTTGGGTTTATGAGGATTTCTTAGATGAGGAAACCCACGGTTGCTAACGGGAGCTTGATAACTAGTTTAATAAAGTAAACTCAATAGAAAATAGTTGTGTCGAGATGATGGAACCGTGGCATCTTAGTCGGTGTCGCATAACATAAATTAAAATCCCCCCCATAAATACACTTAAACAATAACAACAACAGACTTGACATATAAGCTACAAAATCATAAAACCCTGCACCTAGAGCTGTCACTTAGATGAGGAGCTTGGAGCAAACTCTATGGTCACCATGACAAGGACATACAGAAGAACATTTTTGAGAGAGCAAACAAGATTGTCATCATCAATTATTTCCTTAAAATTAAATAACAAGCCTTAGAATTTCGAGGTAGCTCATCTAGTATGCCATAAATCCTCAACTTATCTTTAGGCGTTCGAAAAACCATGTTTTGTAATCTAAGCCCTAACTTGCTTTAGACTCTAAGGTTGTCATTTATTATGACATAAACTCTCCTATCTTCCAGGATCTTTATATGACAATGTCATGTAAGTGTAAGCCCTAAATAATGAAATTGACAAATTAAACATTTAATAAAATTTCTTGAAATTAAAGCTAAACCATAGAATAGCTTGGTAAGTCATCGTGGTTCCCTTTAGGATCCGTGACATCCTCTAGTTTTCTTCCTTTGGATTTCAAAAATAATTGTTTCTATTTTGAGCCATTCCTCATTTGAAATTTTCTATGTCCGACTTTGAAGTCCTAAACTTTGAGATTCTTGAAGACAAATACCTATGATCTAAATCAAGAGTTTTATTGAGAGACTTCAGTCATTTAAGATGTAATTAACTATAGGGGATTGCCATTATATGAAGCTTTAAGAACCACAGGTAATATAAACAAAGATCAGCCTCTATCCTGACATTTTTCTGCAGACGACAGGAAAAATATTAGTGGGCCGAAACTTGGCTTGAACAAGAACAAAACAAAGTATTTATTAAAGTGAATTTTAACTTATTTTAGTGAAACAAATTGTTTACTTATATATGAATTTTGTTTAAATTTTTGTGAAACATTATACTCACAAGTGGAAAGGAGAAAATTTGAAGTTAAAAATATTTTTTTCAAAATTTTCATTTTATTGAGGTTAATTACAAAATTTGAATCCGGTCATAGACATTTGGCCACATAGATAACCCCAAAATATTCAAAGTTTCCAAAGTTTCAAAGCAAGCAGAGGCAAGCGGCATCAGGTTGCGTAATAGGTTTTCAGATATCGTTCATTTATTGGTAACATAGGTCTTTCGCCCTGGAAGTTCACTAACTGGTAGGCTCCTCCTGTGTAGACCTTTTCAACGACAAATGGTCCCTCCCAAGTTGGCTCGAATTTTCATCCTATTTTGCTGCGTGCAAGAATAGGCTTTTTAAGCACAAGTACGAGGTCACCAACTTTGAATGTCCTTGGGCGGACCAATTTGTCATGAGCTTGCACCATCTTCGCCTGGTAAAGCTCCAAGTGTTGCTGTGCTTCTAGTATTTTTCCCTTGAGACTCTCTAGTTCTTCAAGTCTGAGTTTTACACTTTCACCTATTGTGTGTTGGTTGGCAACAAAAACTCTAAGAGACGGTGTTTGAACTTCTAGCAGTAACACGACCTCAAACCCATACACGAGCATATAGGGTGTTCACTGAGAGGGACTCCTGAAAGTCGTCCGGTAGGCCCACAAGGCTTCTAATAGTTTGTTGTGCCAATCCCTTTTGTTTTCAACCAGCGTTTTCTTCAAAATTTGTATCAGTGTTTTATTGAAGGTTTCAGCAAGACCATTTCTTCTAGGATAGTAAATCGTGGAGTATCTCCAATATATCCCATGAATTTTGACAAAATTATTGATGTTGGTGCTTTTGAAAGCTGTCCCATTGTCGGAAATTATTCTTCGCGGTACTCTGAAATGGTAGACAATTTGGCTTTTGAAAATTTGAAGGATGTGTTGTGTCGTAACCTCATGTAATATAACAGCAAGTATAAACATGTGTCCTTTGGAAGATAGAGGGTCTATTAGACCTATTATGTCTCTGCCACAACACTCGAATGACCATGAGACAATAGTTGGGTGTAGCACATTCGGAGGCTGATGTAAGACCACCCCATGCACTTTGGATTGGTGGCATTTTCTGGCTGTATGCATGCAGTCAGACATCATTATTAGCCAATAATATCTGAGTCTCTTAATCTTCATTTTCGTTTTCGGCCCTGACTGGTGAGCGCCACACAATCCGGCATGTACTTCTTGGACAATATTATGTGCTTCGGCTCTGCTCAAACACTGTAGCCACATCTGGTTGAATGATC